GTAAAAAGTAGAAAAAAGGGTGGATTTGCAAGTTTCCTGCAACTCTTGATGCTGTAAGATACCTCTTTCACATAATTGCAAAGTGTACTTTTTTTAAAAAAAAAAAGTCTACCTATCACTTAACAGCTTTACCTTCAGATGTTCTTGCATCATTTCACATTTACTTTCAAATGGGCTATGAAAAGAATGAACAACAAAAACCAACACATTGCAAAGCCAAGACAGACAAAATGAAATGCTCCTTTGTTACTATTTTTGTAGTATTATTGTAAATCACAGCATACCTTAAGGTACTGTTAACCGCTCCCAGTTTGTTAGCTTGCTCACAGTCTTCAAATTCTTTGGAATTATTTGCCACTTTTGAATACTGTAAGAAAGTTCATATTTAATATACAAATTAATTAGCTAAAATTCTCTGAGAAAGGTGCTGTGAAGTGTATTTCTAGGTTTAGCAGTGAATTGGTTAGTATTGGGGGAAATCCCCAGGTTCTAGCAGCAGTAATTCTGGAACATTTCTTATTTCTGTTTTTCTTCACTTAATTTCATCAGGCCAATTTAGCTCTGTAGATTTAACTACCACAGAAAATTCAGCTAAGTATGTCAAAATTTTGTTTGTTTTGGGGTTTTTTTGTGTTCAAATTAAATGGAGTTCTGAAGTGTTTCAGATACTTATGTTCTTATAAAAGGACCTTGGAAGACAAGCAGTGCCATACCTGTAAACATACCTTGTATTTTGCAAGCATAATCGTACCCCAAGTTTCATTGGTCATTTCAGCACAGCAGGAAAATGTATCAGTTTTGGCCACTTCCCCCTCACATTTTATTCAATCCTATTCACTGGCATGCTTTAGATGTTCACAGGTCTGGAAGAGAGGCTTTTCAAGCTGAACTAAAATTTTGATTATTTTAAAGCCAGAATTGAAGTATTTAAGCTGAACTCTGATTCTACAACATTTTTTAAAAAGTAATCCACTAAAACAGACTTACTATTGGAATACTTCTAAGGAAAACATTTGAAGAATTAAAGATTAAATTCCACTAGTCTACAATAATATGGTTATGTCAGCAGGGAATTTTAGTCTGTCAGCTTAAAGCTCAAAAAGTCCTTCTAACAATTTTGGAACATACTAGTATTGGTGCTCTCTTAAAAGATAAACAAACCAAATTTCCTCTTTTTTTTTGGTTTTGGAGTTGTCTTTTGTGTGTGTGTGTTTTCTTTTGCAGACTGAGCCTTAGGTTTACACAGATTTCTATCTTATCACAGTCCCTGAGAAATACAGAAAATGATTTAATGTTAAGTAACTGATAGCTTATATAAATCTAAACTGCTGGCTTCCCTTCACTTCAGGGCCCATACATACCAACATGAAGGATTACTATCTAAAACCAGCTCAAAATAAAAATGTAAGCTAAAGGCTTTAGTCAACCCTTCAGAAATAGCAAACAACAATAATAATTTGATAGATTTAAAAAGAAAGAGAATAGTTCATTTCTGAGGACAGACTTGTGGTCAAGATGCCAGAGGCAAAGTACCACCACAATATATATCACAACACTTCTGAAAAAAGAAAGGATTGAATTAAAACTGTTCAGATGAGTAAGCAAGACAACTTGCTTTAAAAATGCATTTGCCAGAACCACTACAAGGAAAAATAGCAGAACCTACTGAAGACTGAAGTGAAGGAGATTAAAAAACCCAAATAATTTAAACCTTGTTAGGGGCTTTGCCCATAAGAAATATTTACTCTAGAAGGAACTTCTCACTCAATTTTCTTGGATTTGCCTAGTGTGGGAGCTCATTCTTTACCATTGTATGAATGTTAAATGGAAAAATCTGAATAAGGAATGGATCTGACCTAGAATTGAACAGATACTGATGATGAAATAACATACTGAGATGCTGAAGTAAACATTCTGCGTGTCTAGAGCTGCAAACCAAACCCTACCCTGAAGTGAAAAAATTACTGCCAAGAATATAATCCGAAATTTAATGTTTCAAACAGAATGAACATTCAAGTCTCAAAACACGTATCCAGGCCTCACTATTCTCCAGTGTTTAACAGAAACAGCTATCAGATCAGTGCTCTGTGACCACTGACTACATCAGGACAAAGTATCTGCTCCTGCCAATGCAAGATCTCCTGAGAGCAGGTTCTGGAAGAAAACAGGAAAGAGGTGGACAGGAAGCAAAATACTAAGTTAAATGTTGTAACCTTGAGTTACTGCATCCTGTCCCTTGCTTCAAAGATTAATACAGCAGTTCTTTAATGTCTAACCCCTGAAAATGTGTTCATCACTCAAATGAAACAAGACTACAGAAAGGGAAACTACTTTGTGCCTCTCCAGCACCGTTTCAAAAAGCTTATGTTGGTGCCAAGAATTAAAAAGAGATCCTCTATTACTAACTGCACTTCTGTGGGGAAGCTGTGCAAGTGTAACCCTGGTCTTTGTGGACAGATGAGCTTTCAAAAGAAGAACTGTTCTCTCTATGGTTCAGCAAACAAACAAGAAAAATCCCCCACGAAAGCCTAAATAAAGCTAGAAGTTTACAAGCTCATCCACATTAGGAGAAAAGGGCAAGAGGAAACTGCACAGAAGTGAAGCACTTAGACCACAGAAAACTTCTCCACAGGATTCTTCCAAATATATCTACTTCTTCTCCCAAATATATCTACTCAAGAGATTATAGCTCTCATTATTAAAGATGTCTGTCTTTGTTTTCACCTTTCCAAGGCAGACACTATCAGGATGAAAGAGAGAAACTGGACATGTATGTCCCCAGAGGAAAAACACCTTTTTTTAAACCAATACTTTAAGGATAATCCACAAGATGCAAGACTTTCCCAAATGGACCAAGCACAGGCTAATAGCACAGTACTTGCATAGACCTTGAAATAAAACATTCATACTAAGGTGAGTTTGATGTTTCCTTAAAAGGGATATTAAATGAGATTGTCAGAAAAATAAATATTTCTGCAGGAAAATTGCCATCAGGACTGACATAAATCTTACCTACACCATTTTCTTACTTCTTATGATTCAGTTAAAGATCTTTCTTGGAGCCAATTAAAAATTGACAGACAAGCAGCAGATATTAGTGTCTTTGTTCTACTACAGATTGAAGGTGCAGAACTGCCCAACTTTCAGTACTGTAGCTAGTTGCAACAACCTACAAGGCAATTCAAAGGAAACAACTGTAGCAAATATACCAGCAAATGACAACTTCCCAAAGAAGCTATCCCAGTTTCTTTATTGTGGTGAAAGCAAAAGGTGGCTGATTTTTCACACTGGAAGTCCAATATGCTCATGTGAAGTATCTTAAGAACAGCATACTCTTTGGCTACAAATTAACATCTTATTGCTCTCACGATTCATCAGTCAGGAAGCTCAGATGCCTACTAGAAGAATCCTTTCTGAAACAGTCTTTGAAGTCTTAAAATGCTCCTTTAGGAGGCATCACAGTATTCCAGGAGTCAGCTTCTCGACAATCAAGCTTGGAAGAGAACAGAGACAATGAAACAGAGAACTTGCAACAGATTATCCAGCTAAAACTCAAGTTATTCTGCCCAGAGTTAGCACCAGTGTTTTCCCAGAACAACTACTGCTGCTTGTGCTGAAACAGTGAATGACTGACATTTTAAGTCATGTCAGTGAGAAAGATGTTTCTTCTCTGATCACCAGAAACCTTTAAATGAAGGGGCACACTTTACTTCAGAGTGAGCTTAGCAATGTATGTATAAACAGGAGACAAGACTTTCTCTTGAGCTAAAGCTTGGGCAGACTTGCCTGCACTGTTCATGATGGCCGGACACAGAGTCATCAATTCACAACGAAGTATTCCTCTCAGCTATCTTTGGTAATCTTTCTTGGCAGAAAGTCTAAACTGAATGCCAATAGTCATTTATGATATGGCGAACTACACTCAGGTGAGGCAAGTAGCAGCTATGGCTGCCCAGTGAGGTGGAAAGTACTGGTGAGGAGAGGATGGAGATATAACAGTTAAGCAAGAGTAAGTATGAGTCTACAACACAGCCAAGGCACTCAACAGGAAGAAATATCACTTGAGCACCATTATCCCATCAACTGCTAAAATCCTTATTGCTAGGCACTGTGTTTGGGATTTGCGGGTGGGGGAGGATTGTTTGTCTTTCTGCTATGACCTCTTTCCTAGTCATATATACCCTCTTTACTTCTTTGGCTTTGCTAAGATGACTTGATGATCTAAGAAGGATGGCCTGTAGAGAAGCAAGCAAAAGCCAACAGCACAGACTGACCACTTAAGCTTGCACTGACCACTCCAGCCTACGTTGTCTTTAGGCTAATGACCTGCTAAATATTAGACGTGGCAAAACTACATGTAATCATTCGGGTTCTTTCAATATTAGAGGTTTTGGTTATGTATGATTCTTACAAAAGACTGCACTGCTACTGCATCTGTGCATCTTAGCCTATGGATTTATAGAAGATGGCCAGTACTCGGAAATTAACGAAGAATTTTGCATCAGGCATTGTGTGGCCATGTACCGCTGTCCCTGGTCATTCACGGATTCAGTCTGCACCAGGTCTCAAGTTATGACAGACTCAGAATGACATGACAGTACCAGCTATGTCAGAAACACTATTATACATAAAAGCAAAAATGTAAAGCCACATACAGGAGGTGCTCAGTTATGTTAACAATTTCATCACTATGCCAAGACTGAAGGTTTGTAATAAAAAGTGACATAGCTACTGTAATGTTAATATTATAAAAAAAAAAAAAAGGCAGAAAGAACTTAGAACATAAATGACTACTCACTTTATTAGAGCTCCCAGCCTTAATTCCAACAGGTATTTTGCTCTAAAAACAAAAAATGAATCACATTTTTTACACTGTTCACAGAAATAATTATGCATGATTAAAATCTACAAATTAAATATCATTCCCACAGAAGTCAAAGCAAACATGTTTTTAAATAATTAACTTGCTCTTTACCTTCCCAACATGTCATATCTAAAACAGTGCTAGAGTTTAGAAGAGACTTTAAGAATAAGTCACTTGTTTTATTGATAAAATGACCAAGACCTTAAAATACGTCGGTTGTATTTCTGCTTTTGAAATTGAAAATAATTTTACCATCACTCTCTTACTTAAATTTAAGTTCTCATTAGCAAATATTGGTAGTATAGTACTAATCACTGCAAATTAGCAAGCTTTTTAACCAAATAACTTTTTTCTATTTTATATTATTTGATCCATACCTCAGGACAAGGCTCTACATGACAATCTTTGATAGAACAATGGCCATCATCAGCCCAAAATGGGCATGGTCTCTTCAGGTTGACCTAAACATACAAAACCAAAAGCTTACAATCAACATTTATGTAAGGCAACTTTAAAAGAAAGAGCTCTTAGTATCAGGAAATTCTTTCAAATTCAAGGAGAGGATACAAGGAAAAAGGGTTAAATTTAGTACTTTAAGTCTGGGGGTTGTGAGAGTTCGGCTGGTTGACTGGTTGGTTGGTTTCTTTTAACTACTCTGCCTCCGAGTATGTAAGTTGAAGCTTGCTGCCGTAGAATTGTTAGTGATAATGGTCTCCAGTGGACACAAACACATAGTATATTAAAGCACAAATTAAATCTCTCACCACTAATATAACTTCAAATCAGTAAATAAACTACTAAAAAGAAGGCAAATCAGATGTATGTAGCTCTAAAATGGTTGTACTTACAATCAGTTGAACTTGTACTATACTGATCAAGAAAATACATTTGATGGAAGACAGTCTAGTGCACAAGTTTACTAATTCAAATAAGTGTTTGGATGATTTCAGAATTCAAGCAATAAAACCAGACAATCATTACTACACATCATAGCTAGTCAAGGAAGAATGAGTATCACAATGGCCTCAAATTAGAGAGCTGATATTGGCAGGGAACCTCATGAAATTTAACAAGGACAAGTGTTGAGTTCTGCACCTGGGGAGGGACAACCCCATGCACCAGTACAGGTTAGGGGTTGACCTGCTGGAAAGCAGCTCCATGGAGAAGGACCTTGGAGTCTTGGTAGACAATGTTATCCATGCACAGCAATGTGCCCTGGTGGCCAAAATGGACAATGGTATCCTGGGGTGCATTAAGAAGAGTGTGACCAGCAAGGTCGAGAGAGGTTATCCTCCCCCTCTACTCTGTGCTGGTAAGGCCTCATCTGGGGTATTGTCTCCAGTTCTGGGCTCCCCAGTTCAAGAGAGACAGGGAACTTTTGGAGAGAGTCCAATGGAGGGCTACGAGGATGATTAAGGGACTGGAACATCTCTCGTATGACGAAAGGCTGAGAGACCTGGGGCTGTTTAGCCTGGAGAAGAGAAGGCTGAGAGGGGACCGTACCAATGTCTACAAATATCTGAAGGGTGGCTGTCAGGAGGATGAAGCCAATCTCTTTTCAGTAGTGCCCAGTGATAGCACAAGGGGCAATGGGCACAAACTGCAGCCCAGGAAGTTCCACCTCACCATGAGGAAAAACTTCCTTACTGTGAGGGTGACGGAGCACTGGAACAGGCTGCCCAGAGAGGTTGTGGAGTCTCCTCTGGAGACCTTCAAAACCCGACTGGACGTGTTCCTGTGCAACCTGCCCTTGGTGATCCTGCCTTGGCAGGGGGTTGGACCAGATGATCTTCAGAGGTCCCTTCCAACCCCTACCATCCTGTGACATAGCACAAATATAAATAAAGATGAGAAACCACTTCAGAAACATTAGCAGCAAATCCTATGATGATTAGTGCTCCTATCTGTCATCAAATGGCACAACAAAGGCAGGGAGTACCACATGTATTATTAGCATATACCACATGGCAAGAGATTCAAACACTTTACTACACTTCACTTGGGTTGTCAATGTGAAAGTCAGTAAAGAAAAAAAAATAAATATCCCAGCCTTCCCTTACGTTAACCTTATACATACTAACAAACATTAGTGATAAAAAACACTTTGACCTCATCACTCCTAGACTGAAAACTATAGACTAAAGGTATTCCTGCATGATCAACCAGAAACAATGCAGAAGTACACTATCTTTGAAATCTAACATTACAAATAAAATACAAAGCATTTATCCTCAGTAGCAACCACTATTTTCCAGATAAAAAGTGAGTTTTAAAACCTTGAAAGTAAAAAAACCAAAAACCACGCAAACCAAAAATTACTGCTATTCTTTTACTTTGTTTTTCTTTAGCACAGCTTGTACTGTTTTTCTTCAGTTGATAAATACTATTCATGAAGATATTCAAACTGAAGTCACTACTTATATCCAACAAACTACATCTCAAATGATTTGATGTATCACTTATGTGAAACTCTTGCAGATATTGAATTGGATTCTGTAGTCAGACATAGCAAGAGTTCTATAAAATGCACTGTAAAATTAAGCCTAATACCCCAAGGACGGTATCAGGTCCTACAGTAGTTTCAGCACAAAAATTTAAGAATTATAAATGTGCTTATAAAATTTATATATAAATCTTAAGTCAGAAAACTAACCCTTATGCTAGCTTATGAAAAAAATACATACCAGCTGTACAGTAAATTAATAGTCACACACTATATAGAAGAGTATTCTTGCTCTACTTAATAGGTTAAAAGATTGAGATTAAACACTTCATCAACTTAGTCTTCAGCAAAACATGTCTTCCCCTTATATGTAGGAACATTGTTCTCATTAATGTAATTTATATCCTATACTTTCACTTTACATAAGCAGAAACATAGACAGGAAACAAAGCTTAAACATCTAGTACAGTAGTGCCAGGGCAGCCCCTGAGGCAAAGAATTGGCAAGTGAACTCTAAATCCCATGCTCTGATGAACTTGAGAGTCCACTGCATGTAGTACCTGAAGGGTTCCTGCTATGATAAAATAAACACACTACTCAATATTTTAATTTGGAGAGAAACTGAAATCACTGAGCTGTCTTGAACAATTATTCCACTTAAAAAAACCTTTATGCTTTGAACACATTTAACTGACAGAATACATTTATACTGGATCAGTACTTTGCTTTAAGTGGCCTGTTTTTGGAGGAATACAGTAATAGAAGCCCAATGACTACATTCACTGAATTGTCAAACCAGAGCCTCAGCAATTAAAAAAAATTATCTAACTCAATTTTTTTCCCCAGCATTATACACAATATACTAAGCATAAGGAAAACTAGATCAATATGCCTCTGATACAAAGCAGGCAGAATATGAAGAATCCGAGATTAATTACAGCCAGATTTTATTCTCCCTTCTGTCTATTACCTTAATTTTGCTGGCTAAGAAAAATCAAAACTACGTACCAGAAATAAAGAAACAACTTTTAACGCTTGAAGGATAAACTGTTCTGTGGCCCTACGTACCCAAATTAAAGCAAAACAAAAAGAATTCGCTCTTCAAATGTTGTCAATACCACAAAAGATCCCCAAAAAGCAAAACTTAATGCTTGACTTCCTCAACTACCCTTTATTATACTGATTTCCTCTACCAAACCTTTCATCAAGTAAGTTCTTTCTGTATTTTCAAAACATGCATACAAAGTTAACTGCTATATAACATCTGAAGGAAAGACTGTTTTCCAGGTTTCCATTCTGATGTACTTATTCAGCATGACTGGGAATTACAAATTCAACTTGAAAATGTTAAAGAGATTCCCCAGTCAAAAAAAAAATCTAACAAGACATTGAGCAGATGGTATGACTTCTTAGGAGTGTTGACAACTATCTTTTAATTACAGTTCAAGCCATGCTAGCACAAGATACATTAAAAGCAGAGATTTTACGTGTCGTTCCCCCCCCCCCATTTCCTCTATTCAATCCACAAACACCATCTCTAGGGGAAAAGAAAAGTAAAATTTTAGAATTTTTTCTACTTGTTCACTCATCATCTTTTTTTAAATAAAGCGCAAAAAAGCGTTACATTTCACATCACCTTCACAATAAGACCCATTATATAAAAAATGCCCCTCCTACCAATTTCTACCAAAAAAAAAAGAGACCGGCTAACATAGGTAGACTACAACCTTCTTCAAAATAGACTCTAACACCACAAAATGCTAACACACTTAGGAAGATACAAGTAACTAGGCAGTCACTGTTCTTGCACATAGGAACGCTGTAAATAAAAGAATACTGTCTAAACTGCAGATTAATTCAGAAAGAACACCTGAAAATCAAGATATACTAGTCCCAGAACGATTCAAGAGCACTAAAAACCAGTGTGCACACTTCTGAGACAAACTGAGGCTGTATAGGACTTGTACCTTAATCAATACCAGTCATGCACTGACTACATAGAACATCCTACTTTATCCTGGGACTGAAGTATTAGATTTCATTATTATCGTTTAGAGTATTATTCATACTTGTCACAAAGCAAAAGTTAAGATTCCTTATCATGAGGCTTCCATAGTTTGTGTGTTTTGCTGCATAAAACTATTCAGAGACAAAATTTTATTCCTTTATTTCTTTCATTGAGAATTGTTCCACTATCTAGAAACCACCTAGTAAAATTTCAGCAAGACTTTAAAAAGAAAGTTTTCTTTGGTCTTTAAATAAAAGCTCGCTAGTCCATTCAGTATTATACATAGTTTGTATGTATAATATTTTTATACATATATAATGTATATATGTATAAAAATAAACTTTATACTCAAGTTTGAGTTCTTTTATGGCTGTTGAACTAGTAACACAATGGGAATACTGTGACTGTAGTTACAAAAGTTCATGATCCAAATTCCTATTACAAATTAAATTACTTCAGAGTAGGAGTGTTTTCACTCCCAGAAGACATATACTCCCCCTATGCTTATTCAGCATTTAGCTACACTGTGGTTGACCTAGATGATCATTGCCCACCCTCTCAACTTCCACATCCATCTATGTGCTTAATAGCACTTCCATGATTCTGTGCAGGGACATAAAAAAAAAACACCTCTGTTGCTTATTCAGTGGGGAAAGCATGAAAAACATCCTGACTTACTTATCCAGTTTGCTTGTTCAACAAAAAGTCTTCCCTGTCACAACTGGAAGTACCAAATAATGCACAGTGATGGGTGCGCTGCACATTGGCCCTTGTAATTGCCCATCTATTAGGAAGATCAGTACGAAAGACGAGGTAGGACTGCAACACACCATTAAAGTGAGATCTGCAGAACTGCTGTTGAAATGAAGATTAGCTCTAAATTTGCAGGATAAAATTACTCTTGTATAAAACCTTGTACGCCTGTTGCTCCTGTTCTTCAAATACTTTGTTTTGTATCTTTCTGTTGCCTCTGGAGACTCTAATCACCACTACTATGTGATGTATTATCACTGAAGTTGCACATATCTTGTTTCTCCTGAAAAGTGAAGTTAGCACTGTATCATGTAGCAGGAGGAGATTCAGGGTGAAGTTACACGTTACTGCTTGTGCAGACTAGAAAGGGAAGATTCTAACACTTTTGTCTCTCCTTCCTCACATTCATAACCCCATCTTGCATGAGTTTTATACTTGTCTGATTCCAGATCACCTACATAACTTGCGACATCCTGGAAAAAGCCCAACGCAAAACTAACAACCAAACCCAAACATCCAAACTAAAAATATACCAGGTTAAAGAAATGCATTGGCCTAATGCAGTCAGACAAGACCAAGAGCTAAAAGTAGGGAAGGAGCAGGACAGTCTGCCCTAAAGGAGTGTAACCTCCTTTTTTCAGTAGCAGGCAAGCATCTGATCAGCTCAGTCAAAATGCAACCTCATTTTCAAGCTAAGCATATCTGAAAACACAAGTATCAGGCTTCAAAGTCTTATTTTGCTCATAAGATTCTAACACAGAGAACAAAAAATGTTTAAAGTCATAAAAACTTACATACTTACATACATACTACTTGAAAATTGAATATTTTAACCTATTTTTAAAAGGAGTAACAGTTGTCTAGATAGCAAACACTAAAATCAGAACTAAGACAGCAACTTAAAAGAAAACATTGCACTATTTCCATTTCAACTTATGCACATTTCTTACAAGACAAGTATTGCACATTGTCAGAAAGTTGCTAATATACAGTCCTTTTCTAGATGCAGCAGTACAAAGATACTACCTTTAAAATTACCACTTAACAGTTGATTGAAAGCAGTCATGATTTATTGTCACCGACTCCAGAATTAACACAGCAAACATGACTTATTACCAACGTAACTGTCAGGAATTGAAAACCTGCCACAACCAAATCAAAGAATTGTGGCTTCTAAAAGACAGCTTAATACAGACAAGTTGATTTGATATGTAATCCTCCCTATATTTTCTGGATTTTATTTAAATTATTCTGGAAAACACCATTCTAATTGTACCTTGTAATATCTGAAGTAATCACGTTCTTGCAGTTTCTGTATTTTGGGGAAGATCTTGAAAGTATTGAAGTCATCAATGCTTTCTATGTCACACAAACAATCATCTAGGACTCCTGTGAGCTATTAAAAAAATACATAAAAATTTATTTGTAATCAAGAAATGCGATATTAACTACAGAAAAATCTTCTAAAGAGAAAAATATGTCAGTCAAAAGAAATACAAATGAAATGCAATTCCATCGCAAATAATTTCTCATCATTAAACTTGTCTACAACATCCCTTACATACTCAGAATTAGAAAATAACGGACCTTCGGACTTCTTTTTTTGTAGCTTAAGTCCACCTCCAAACACAACACTGAATCAATGTTAGCCAGATTAAGACTTTCAGCTCTGAGATTTGTTGACAGATTCAGCTATAAAACTTTCTGCAAAATGAACAGCAAGATTTTCCAAACTATGAACACATGGTATGTTATTAGCATATCAGAGCTGCATACGAAGTGTTCCCCTACCAAACACTCATTAGCTGAATTGCCTAAAAAAAACTCACAATCATGCACTGTCATCTTATTTTTATAATTCTTCTCAAAGTGTAAGAACACTCCAGCTAGTTTCTTTAGAGGCATGGGAGAAAGGGGGATAGATACTTTTGTGCCCAAGTTAGTAACTTCACAGTTAAATTTTACAAATACTATGAAAACCAGGTGCAGGCACCTATACTGCAAGGCTGCAAATCTATTGTGAAACTAAGTCTGGACTGTCCAGGCCCTATCCTTCTGCTGGTTCAAGGTACTGCACTAGCTTAAGACCACCTCTATGAAAAGAAGCACACACAAGTGCAGAAGCGCTATTGCCAGCACAGGAGAGGAAGGCAGGACTGTGCAAGCAGCAGAGAGGACAGGCCCAGCTAACTTCGTAGACTAAGCTAGGGCAATGCTTTTGCTGAGACCCTGACAGTGTCTTAGGGAAAGGCAGAAACACTGAAAGTATGATTCTATGAACATTTGTATGATAAATTTCATTATATCTAACTACTCCCAAGCCTAGCTTCTTAAACAACTACAAACATGTTTGAAAGGCCTTCCAGACGTAAGCTTGAAGGCTTTAGACCACATCTAAGGGAATGGAGCCCAACACTGCTGTCAACTACTACTGTTCTTCAGACAGACAGGAAATTCGTTGACATACACAATGGCCTAGAAAGCATATAAAACAGGAAAGACCACACATCTTGTATCTTGCATGGGCTTAGAAGAGTTTCTAACCATTAAAAGGTTATGCGCAAAAGGAGGAAAATATTTTGTGTGGGTTTTTTTTTCCTCACAGATTTCACATAGATGAGATTACGAAATTATCTAATCTGTTTTATGCATGATAAATCACTCCACTACTTTACAGAATAGATACCCTTATATAACCAAGCCTGATGTAAGACAGCCACTAGAAGCTGAGTGGTAGGCTTCTCCTTTTTTATGAAGCATAAAGAAGGTCTGGAAAATGGATTTTCCCCAACCCCCTGTGAGAATAAAGATGTGAGGGTATGGCAATAAAGCATTTAAGTAGAAAATTCACCTATGTAGATCCTGCTTTTCCTGAGGCACTAAGGCCAGAGTAGATATGACAATGAAGTAAAACTCACTTAAGGGAAGTTACATTACACAAAGTCTTCCATGCTGTTATGCTTGCCGTGTTAATGTTATCTAACTTCAAACCTGGGCAATCAGCTATGAAAGTCTATGTGCAATTACAGTTTTTTCACAAAGCCAAGAAAGCTTACAGCCTAACTTCGAAGTCAGAAGGCAAAACTTGTTACTATTGTTACTTACAGAAATAAAAACCCCATGCATTTTAATCTATAATGATTTAATTACAGATTTCAAATTTTCTTATCCGTCACACATAGGCAGAAATTAATTTTGCAGTCTTTACAGCTAACACCATGCCACAAAACAGCAGTACATTTCATTATAATATAAGCAGGTGAAAAGAGAACTCTGAACATTTTGCTCAAATATTATTGAACTGTATAACCAGTATAAATCTTACGTGAAGAGCAATAATTTATTACGCTGAAAGCAGTAGGAAAGCTCCAAGAAATTTTCTTTGGACTCAGAAGATAAAGAGTAGGAAATTATTTTGATGACCACCTCATGAAGCCATCCACTGCTTACAAAAATATTTTTACCATCTATGCAAAACTGAAACCACTTTTTCAGGGGAAAAGGTTCCAAATAAACATGTAGTAGTTACACTCAGTGTCAAATCCCCATGAAAAAATAGAAAGCTGCAACTAAGAGGGCAAACTAATGAAGGTCACACCTTTGCCAGATGTCTCTGATAAAATCTCAATTCTGAGAACACCTTTCAAAATGCAGCACAGTTTACTTAGAACATTATGAAGTTTCAGAAATAGCCCCACCCCCCCCCAAATAGAACTGGTCTAAGACATTAAGAGAAAAATTAATTTAGAGTAACAAGAGCAAGCAAACAAAACTCTCCATTTCTTTCTCACAACTTTTAAAAAACTGGAACAGTTAGCTCCCTGTATATGTAAAATACCAAAATCAATGTTTCCTTGGAAGGCATGCTCTAAAATTAAACTATGCCGTATCTGTGCCAAACCAAAATTTGACAGCACGTATGAAACACCAATACTGTACATCAGTGGAGTCAGTTCATAGCACACTAATGCAACAGCAACAGAGGCTTCAAGTACCCCAGTTAGAGGTTTTTTTTATTAGTCCAGGTATAGTCTTCAGTGCTCTCACTTGTATAAGAACACTCTAAGAATATGCATTGTTTCTTTTTTTGTTGACACCTGGATCTTCTTTTTCAAACTGGAGACATCAAAATAAGAACAGTGTATTACACAGTTAAAATTATGTATTGCAAGACCTACTTTGCTACTCACACAATTGGTATTTTGCATTTTTGTAATTGAGCTATACTAGTTACCTTAGTCCACAAATATAGAGCCAAACTGTACTGTAAATTATGTCAACTTTTATTACAATTGCCAAATATCAAGCTTTCTTTTCACCTGTTAATTACTTTGAACTCTATGATAAACTCTAAAAGCATTAGCCTACTATAATTCAAGAGTTCAAGAAGTTATTTGATATTGAATAGTTGGTATTTCTTCTATATTTCCAATATGCTTATCAAAGTATTTCCATGTATTGTCAAACCTAGCTTGGTTCTTGTACAGATATCAGAGCCATACTGGAGATGTTGAACTTCTAACTTAACTTCTCCAAGGTAAATCAACCTTCCAAAAGAAAAGGTCTATGTCCAACCTGCATCAATTACTCCTTATGAAATCTGGAAAGGGAAATGTATTCAGCTCTTCAACATTAAGAAAAAGCTGAATAAATGCATATACTAACAAGCAGAATATTTATACAAACAACCTTATTAGTGTTATCAGGTTGTTATACTTTAATTGCTTCAACAATTAGAAGACCGCCTGGGACGCCTTGTTTTGCTCCTTAATGTTTTACTTTGCCATAGCTGCAGAATGAGAGAAAAGCTATAGGTAATATGACTCCAAGAACTAATGGGTAGCTTATCTTTTCCCTGTGCCAGTCAAAATCTAGGTACAATATGCTAACAATTTTATGAAACGGCAACAACCAATCTCTCCGCCAAGCCCCATAAGAAAGCCACGACAGTTTGTTAATGGCTTCTTTAAGAATTCCAATTCAATTAGGATTCAGTTATGCTAAAATAGCTACTAAAATAAGGGATTTTAAAACCTGAGAAAATTTCAACTTACAACAAAAAAACCCACTGCAATAAAAGCTATATATGATAGACTAGTCACTGCGTTGGACGGTCACTTACAATATAGCATGTTATACAAAGCAGAAAGTTAGAAAATATAATAAAAATAATAATCAGATACAGAAGACAAAAGCTTTGCTCCACGTAGACACCGTTATTTCCATATAAACTCACTCTAATGTCTTTGGTCCAGATGAAATCCTTCCCTACCTGACACCAGCTATTATTTCAGTCACAGTCATACTGCTGATGAATAGCAAACTCCTAACTATAGACACTTGTCCTTCTGAAGCTGTTCGGGCAGTTTACAGAAAGAAGGAGCATTCTCATGCTTCTCTGTAATGTGGGAAAACGGACGAGACCTAAACACAAGCCAAGCCCGGGAACTGATGTTACCATTCGAACATATGGCTGCTTATCGACTTCATAAGGACACCGAAGTTTCTGCCTAAAGCCAACGGTATGATCCAACCCAGAGCTTCCCAACACAACACCCCACAGACAGCAAGCACTGTTACTTGGATTAAACAACTCCTCTGTGTAGCTGGACCGTTATATAAGGGTACTGCCAGTGGTTCCCACGTCAACCAACTTCTCCCCTCAGCGTGGCAGCGGGGCCTCATAGCCCGGAGGCACCCAACCGCCCGGCCCCGGGCCGGGTTCCGGCAAGTAGCAACCGCGGGGTATCGGGTAAGAAGGACGTGGGCTACAGGCTTCAGCGAGGGATTCCCTGACTTCGCCGCCGGTGAGGATGCACAAGACACGTCCCGGAGCTGCCCTCTCCCCCACCGCCCTCCGAAGCGCGCTCACCACCTCCTCCAATCCGCTCTCCTTCTCCTCAGGCAGGGGTCCGCTCCCCTACTCAAAGGCGGTGGGGCATCTCTGCCCGGCCACGCTCCCTCTCCACA